AAAAATCTGACAGAAGAGTTGCGTACTTTTTCCTGAGGAGCTCTCTGAGAGCTATAGGGTTTTAGATTAGCAGCCGGACTTTGGTGGTGCCTACCAGCAGCTCCTCCACGGCGCTCAAGAATCCCCGCAGGGACTTGTTTGGACCGGCAGCTGGTCCGGGAGCGCTTCCGGCACGCGTCCAGTGCCTGCACGCGTGCAGGCACGCGTGGAAGCGTGCCTGGCAGCGCGTCAGAAGCACTTCACACGTAGAGCGTCCGCTAGTTGCTGGAAGCTTAGGAGTAATTCCGGCGTGCTGGAGTGCCAGTTGGCATGAAAATCTCGATGGACAGTGTGCTGATTTTTGCTCGGTTGGGAATTATTTTCTCGAAATATCAATTCGTTAGAGTTCTGATATGTTTCTCATGATATTCGATCTCATTCCCGCTCGCCGTCTGAATCTCAGATCGATCGGGTACCTATTACTGCCAAAAAGCATCCAGGCGGGATCGGCTGTTCGGGTCATCTTGAGAGGTGCTGTCGTTTTTCTGTACTACTTAACTTGAGCTGTAGGATAACTACAGAGATGGTACGCAAACCTAATCGACCCAGAATGATCAGACGCGTTCGTCTGACGCATCTAGAGGTCTGAACTCGGTCTGCTTCTCGAGCTAGGTCCGCGAAGCTATTCGTACTCTAATATTTTTCTTTGAGATGATGATGATTTTCTTGACTTAACTCGAGCCTCAGATGAACTGAAGGGCTCTTCGGCACAGCAATCGGAAAGCATCGATCCGGCGTCCTAGTCTAAAGTATGTAGACGCCCGAACTCGGTCTGTTATCAGCACTGGAGCCGAACAACTTTTCTTACTCTCCAAATTTTCGGAGATAACAATGGTTTTCTTTACTTAACTCGAGCTGCAGATGAGCTACAGAGCTTTTCGGCTCAGCAATCGGAAGGCAATGATCCGGCGTTATAGTTTTAGGTATTTAGACGCCTGAGATCAGTCTGCTATCAGGACTGGGCTGAAACACTATCCGTACTCTGCTATTTTCCGGTATGGTCATGATTTTCTTGACTGAACTCGAGCTGCGGATGAGCTACAGAGCTGTCCAGCACAGCATTCGAAAGAAAATCATATGGCTCGCTACTAGACACCTGGACTCGGTCTGCTATCAGCGCATAAACCAACCAACTATTCATACTCTGCTATTTTTTGGAAGATGGAATTGGTTTGTCTTGACTTAACTTGAGCTGCAGATGAGCTCCAGAGCTCTTAGGCGCAGCAACTGGAAGGAAATTATCAGGCGTGCTAGTTGAAAGTATCTAGACGCCTAAAATCAGTCTTCTATGAGCGCTCGGGCTGAAACACTACGCGTACTCTGCTAATTTCTTGGAGATGGTATTGGTTTTCTTCACTTAACTCGCGCTGCAGATGAGCTAAAGAGCTGTTGAGCACAGCAATCGAAAGGGAATCATCAGAGGCTCTAGACGCCTGAAATCAGTCTGCTATCCGCGCTCGGTATGACAAACTATTCGTACTCTCCTAATTCTTTGGAGACGGTATTGAACTCGAGCTGCAGATGAGCAAGGAAGCTCTACGAGTCTCCCGGCGGTAACCAAGGTTGACGGTTTACCGCCTGCGTCCAGTTAGGAGATCTTCAAATTACTCGTAGAGCTTCCCTAAGAGCGTTAGCGGCGAAGCTAGAAGAGTAATTCCGGCGCGCTGGGGGCTAGTTGGCAAAACAAATTCGACGGAAGTTTTGCATATTTTCGCTCGGTTTTAATTCGATTTTTCTGAAATTGAACCATTCGTTAGAGCTCTAGTGTTTTTTTCCACCCATCCTCGATCTTATTCCCGCTCGCCATCTTAATCTCAGGTCGATCGGGTACCTATTACTGCCAAAAAGCACTCCGACGGGATCGCCTGTTCGAGTCATTTTGACAAGTGCTGTCGGTTTTCTGAACTGAACTCGAGCTGTAGGATAGCTACAGAGCTGGTATGCACACCGAATCGATCCAGAATCATCAGGCGCGTTCGTCTCCAGCATCTAGAGGTCAGAACTCGGTCTGCTACCAGAGCTAGGTCCGCACAACCAGTTGTACTCCACCGATTTTTTCGAGATGATGATGAGTTTCTTGACTTAACTCGAGCTGCAGATGAGCTCGAGAGCTCTTCGGCACAACGATCGGAAGGAACATATCAGGCGCGATAGTCTGAAGTATCTAGACGCCTGAATTCAGTCTGCTATCAGCGCAGAAGCCGAACAACTATTCGGACTCTGCTATTTTGTTGGAGATGAAGTTGATTTTCTTGACTCAACCCGAGCTGCAGATGAGCTACAGAGCTCTTCGGTACAACAATCGGAAGGAACTCATTCAGCGCACTAGTTCAAAGTATCCAGACGCCTGAAATCCGTCTGCTATCAGCGCTCGGGCTGAAACACTATTTGTACTCTGCTAATTTCTTGGAGATGGTATTGGTTTCCTTGACTTGACTCGCTCTGCAGATGAGCTACAGAGCTGTTGAGCACAGCAATCAGAAGGGAATCATCAGGGGCGCTAGATACAAGTATCCAGACGCCTGATCTCGGTCTGCTATCAGCGCTGGGGCCGAACAACTATTCGTACTCTGCTAATTCTTTGGAGATGGTATTGGTCTTCATCATGTAACTCGAGCTGCAAATTAGCTGCAGAGCTGTTCTGCGCAGCAATCGAAAGGAAATAATCAGGCGCGTTAATTTAAACTATCTAGACACCTGAATTCGGTCTGCTATCTGTGCTGGGACCGAAAACTATTCGTACTCTTTTTTTTAGAGATGGTGATTTTTTTTTTCAGCTCATCGATTCCGAAGAGCTCTACGAGCTATTGTCCGCCCGGGCTGGATGAGCCAACTAGCTCCATCCCGCGCCCGAATTTCTCTGGCTCATCTAACGGGGGCTCTACGAGTCATTTCTTGTCGCATTCTGAGTACTACTTTGCGCTTTTCAAAGCACTACGAGTGCCCTGGCGGTTACCTGATCGACAGTTTGCCGCCGGCCCCCAGTCGATGCCGACGAGTTCTAAGAGATACCAGCCCCCCAGCGCGCCGGAATTCGTCTAGCTCATCGATGCTGAAGAGCTACACGAGATGCCAGTTCCGCCCGCGCCGGAATTCCTCTAGCTCATCGATGCCGTAGAGATTCACGAGGTACTAGCTCCACCTGTGCTGGAATTACTTCCTTTCAACCTATCGTTGCCGAAAAGCTCCACGAGGTATTGTTCGCCTGGGCCGGAAGTGCCAACTAGCTCCACTCCACGCCAGAATTCCTCTGGCTCATTTCGCAGAGCACTTTGGCACGGATGACCTAGAGGAATTCCGGCGCGGGTTGCAGCTAGTTGGCTCACTGGGCCCGGGCGGACAATGTGGCAACCTCGGCTCGGTTTGTCGGAGATTTTGAGATCTTCGATAATTCGTTTCAAGAACCCGTATTTTTCTGACGTGTAGTGAGCCTGTGACATTCTCGTCTGTAGCTGCACTGTTATCATTAAAAGACGTAGAGAAACGGACGTCGTATAAGACTCGACAAATACATGTTGCGAGTTTTCAAGCTGACATTCGAGCACGCTCTTTCCTCACTATCAGGCACTGATTTGGTGTCTTGGAGCTCTACGAGGGTTCCGGTAACCTCGTTGACTTTACCGCCGGCTCCCAGTCTTATGGAAGCTCTACGAGTCATTGCTCACCGCATTCTCAGCACTGCTTACCTTGTAGTGCAATGCTTCTGTAAAAAAACCTGGAGGAACGACGTTGTACAAAAAACTCAACAAATACATTTTGCGAGTGTTCAAGCTAAAACTTGAGAACACTCTCTCCTTGTTATCTGGGCGCTGATTTGCGCGTTCAGAGCTCTACGAGGGTCCCGGCGGTAAACTGGTTGACGGTTACCGCCGGCTTCAGTTTTGAGAACGAATCTTTGTCTCACGTGTAGTGAGTTATGCCGCGTCTGCCTGTCAAATTCTGAGGGGCGTAGCTGGAATATGATTGTCAAAAGACGTGGAGGAACCATCGGTCGTCGGAATGTACTTCCGAGACAGTCGTCTCGAGTTTCAGACCAGGACCGTGCTGGCCCGTGGTCGGCGGTGAGATGTCTCCCGTGGCCCTGGTCGCTGGATGACTGCGCCGTGGTGGCTGTGCCCGTGTGCCTCGTAGAGCTCTTCGGCATCGATGAGCTAGAGGAATTCCGGCGCGGGGTACAGCTAGTTGCCCCACTGGGCCCGGGTGGACAATGTGACGAAGGATTGTGAGAGAGTTGAGAATTGGTTTTGAGAGCCAGTATTTTTTGATCCTGTAGTAGGTTAAGCCGCGCTTGCGAGTATAATTCTCAGATCCGTAGCTGTAGTGTACTATGAAAACACTTGGCGGAACCAACGTCGGATAAAACCCGTAAAATACATTTTGCGAGTTTTCAAGCTGACATTCGAGAGCGCTCTCTCCTTGATATCTGGGCGCTGATTTGCGTGTTAAGAGCTCTACGAGGGTCCCGGCAGTAACTTGGTTTCCTCCTCCTCAGGGGTCTGGGGACTGGGGGCTCCCGTCGGGCCTTCGTCTCGAGCGGCATTGTGCCGTGCCTGCTGTTGGGTTCTCTTTACCGTGCACGGTGCTTCAGTGTTTGTTTTGCCTGAGTACCGTACACAGTCATTGATTTCGGTCATTGATTTTGGTCATTGAAGCAGGAGTGCACGTTGACCGTTGATAATGTATTTAGCTGAACGGTATTGTGAATCACGACGTCTTGGTTCGGATTTAGAGCCTGCCAGAGGGTGGGGCAAGTTCTTGATAGAGCTCGAGAGAGACTATTGGAGAGAGTATCGTCAACTAACGTGTCGGAGGTGTCGTTGTGTGGGATATTCATTGAGCACTGGGATTTCCAATCGTTTGAAATGGCGACGGCAGCTGATAGTAAGATGTCGGAGGTGGAAAAGATTAGCGAGAGGAAGAGGGCGAGTGTGGAGGCGGAGAAGGGGGGGGGGGAGGGAGCTCATCGATCTCAGGGGATTTATTTGCAGAGTTCAGGAAGTTTCAGCAGATGTTGCCCAGGATCGTTTCGACGGCGGTACATGATGCGGTGGAGGGAGTTCGGCAGGATGTCAAAACAGTGGGCAGTAAAGTGACACAAATCGGCGGAGGCGCTTCTCTTTGATCTTTCTGATCGTTACTCATATGAAGTCATGCAAGTTTTCGACGATAACAAGGAGACATTCAACATTGAGTCATTACTGATATTTGATAATTCGTTGCGTGAGGTCTTACTTTTCCCTGCCTCGAGTGGGGTGCAGAATTCAGTGTATCCCGCAATTCACGCAAGTTCGATGATGACAAGAAGACATTCAACATTGAGTCATTCATAACTGATAATTGATATTTCATTGCATGAGGTCTTACTTTTCTTTGCCTCGAGTAGAGTGCAGAATTCATTGTGTATCCTTCAATTCATGCAAGTTCGAGGATGACAAGAGAACATTCAACATTGAGTCATTGATAACTGATAATTGATAATTCATTGCATGAGGTCTTACTCTTCTCCGCCTCGAGTGGAGTGCAGAATTCATTGTGTATCCTGAGAAGACTCGTTTGGAGTGCCGTACTTCCTTTTCTATTCGGTGCCTCAGCCACCCTGGCTCGCCAATCTCAGTACAACTGCTCACTTTTCGGCCTCGTTTGGAGACCTTGACGTTGCGTGACTGCGTGACGGGGCCCCTGTTAGTGGGGCCGCAGGTGTTCGAATCCGACATGCCTAAGCCACGCTGGCTCGGCACGTGTCATTCTAGATGCCTCAAAGAAGGTCCTTGCCCGCGTCCTTGTTTTGTACTCTTGTACAGCTCAACGAGTATCGCAGTTTTCTTGGCTTCTTGTGAGCACGCTCGCTGCCCCATGAGGGCCCGATTAGCGAGACCGCAAACCGCAAAAAACCTTGTTGACGGCTTACCGCCGACTCCCATTCGCGCGTCGGGCACTCTGCGAAGGTCCCGGCGATTACCTGGTCAACAGTTTACCGCCAGCCCCCTGTCGATGCCGGCGAGTTCTAAGAGGTGCCCCAGAATTGCTGTCTAGCTTCGCCGCTTCGCCCTTAGGAAAGCTCTGCTGGTCACGAGCTCCAACTTGCGCCGGGATTTCTCTAGCTCTTTGACGCCGACAAGCTCTACGTGATAAGCTGAAGATCAGCTGCATATCTGATCGGCGCAGCACCTGAACGGGAACCATCGGAAACGAAAATGCTTGGGCCGGGGGCCTGTGTGTGTGTGTATGTGTGTGTTTGTCTGTGTCGGTGTGTGTGTGTGGGCGTGTGTGTGTGCGTGTGTGTGTATTTGTCTGTGTGTCTGTGTCTGTGTGCGTGTGTGTGCGCGTGTGTGTATATGTGTCTGTGTGTGCGCGCGTGTGTGTGTGTGTCTGTGTGTGTGTGTGTGAGTGTGTGTCTGTGTGTGTTGTTGTGTATGTGTGTGTGTGTGTCTGTGTGTTTGTGTTTGTGTGTCTGTATGTCTGTGTGTGTATGTGTGTGTGTGTGTGTGTGTGTGTGTCTGTGTGTCTGTGTGTCTGTCTGTGCGTGTGTGTATGTGTGTGTGTGTGTGTTCGTGTGTCTGTGTGTGTGTGTGTGTGTGTGTGTGTCTGTGTGTGTGTTGTGTGTATATGTGTATGTGTGTCTGTGTTTGTACAAGTACATCTTCTCGAGTTTTTGACATTCATGAGCTGGAGGTATTTCTGCGCGGGTGCAGCTTGTTCAGCTTTTTAATTTTCGTAGTAACTTTCAAAGTAATTCGTAGAGCTTCCCGAAGAGCGAAGCTGCAGAGCTAGAGAGTAATTCCGGCGCACGCTGTCGGGCCATCTAGATGCCTGAACTCGCGGGAGCTGGGCCTATTTTAACTCTCTCAATTTTCAGGAGATAATGCTGAGTTTGTCAATGTAACTCGAACTGGAGATGAGCTAGCAAGCAGTTCGGCAGAGCAATGAAAAGCATAAGGAGCGCTAGTCTCAAGTATCTAGATGCCCAAACTCGGTACTCTTGCGGAGCTGGATCCGAACATTCGTTCGTAATCTGCAAATGTTTAAGAAATGATAACGCTGCAGATAAGCTACAGAGCTGTACGGCACAGCAATCGGCATAAACTCATGAGACGCTCTAGTATCTCTTATCTAGATGCCCGAACTCGGTCTGCTTGTAGAGTTCGAAGAAAACAACTGTTCGTACTATATTCTCCCGTCTTCGCCACCATGCTTTGCTATCACCGTTCTCGTGGCCGCGACTGCGGTCGTGATTGCGGCTGCCGCCGCGGCCGAGATGGAAATATTTATTTTTTCTCGGGCGTTCACTTTCCATCCGCGGCCGCGTTTTCGATCGAAGCTGCGGCCGCGACGGCTGGGAGTAGAAAGCTCCCCCGTAGATTCTCTGTCGGAACGCGTCCGCGGCCGGTCGGGATTATGCTGCGCCGCTGGAACGAAGCTGTTGCGATTTGTTGCGGTCATCTTCCGGCTCCGGCCGCAGTTGCGGTCGGGGCTTCGGCTGCGGCCGCTTTGGCGATCCGGGCTCGGGCTGCCCGCAGCTGAAAGGCGAAGCTGTCGCGAATTTTTCGCAGTTCTTTCTTCTCTTGGCCCAGCCGCTGCTCCGGTCGGGCTGCAGCTGGCTCTAGCGAATTTGCCGCAGTGGTTCTCTTTTTCGGGCCGCGGCTGCCGCCGTGGCTGGGAGAAGGATCGACTGCGATTTTTTCGCAGTGTTTTGCAGCTGCGGTCGGAGCTGCGGCTGCGGCTGCAGCTGGAAGGGGAAGTGCAGCGTTTTTTTTTTTGTCCTTCCCCTCTCTCTCTCTATTCATCTTCTTCTTCTTCTTTTTTTTCTGTCCGTGGCTGCGGCTGTGGCTGCGGCGCGGTTGGGAGGGGGAACTATTGCAATTCTATTGCGAATTTTCGCGGTCGGTTCGCGCTTGCGGATTTGGCTGCGGCTGCTTCTGTCAGCCGCAGCCTTGGCTGCGGTTGCGGCTGCGGCCGTGGCTGCGGCCGTGAAGGGGGAAACTATCGCGAGTATCTCGCTGTGGTTTTGCTCTTCCAGCCGTGGCTGGGCTGTGGCTGCCTGCTGACTTTGCCCCCCCCTCCCCCGGCGCACCGACTTTGAGTTTGACTTTGAAGTCAAAGTCGAAGTCTGGGCGGCTGGCTTTGACTTTGTCCTTAAAGTCAAGGTTAAAGTTGCCGGGGGACTTTGACTTTAAAACCATAGTCGAAGTCCGTTTGGCGACTTGGACTAAGTCAAAGTCGCCCTGGCGACTGTGACTTTGGCTTTGCTCTGCCCCCCTCCCCCTGGCGCGCCGACTTTGAGTTTGAGTTTAAAGTCAAAGTCAAATCCTCTTTAACTTTAATGTCTGAAAGTCTTCGCGCCCTTCCTCCAGTTGGCCCACCCTGCCGGGGCGGACAATGTAAATTTGGGTCGCTTGGGCGAACATTGTGACAGATTGGACCATTCGTTTTGAAGATCCAGATTTCTATTCGCTGCAGTCGATCATGGCGCGCTTCATCGTGCAGTTCTTAGGGCTGTAGCCGCAGCGCAGCTCTCGAGAATTAGCAGCAACCGTCGGCCGTCGGGATGCATTTTTACAGAGGATAATGGTTTCGCGAATTTAACTTGAGCAGAAAGCAATCTATGCAGATTCAGTATTCTCTGCAGGCTGCCGAATTCTCAGGTTCGTAGCTTTCCTAAGAACACTTGGCGAAATCAACTTCGCATTGAAACCGAAAAATACATTTTCGAGTTTCTAAGCTGATATTCAAGCAAGCTTTCTCGTTGTATTCTGAGCATTTTGTTTCTCAAGAGCTCTACGAGGGCCCCGGCGGCAACTTGCCTCGCGGCTTACCGCCGGCGCCCAGTTCCTGTGTGCTGGGGGGCTAGTACCTCGTAGTGCTCTTCGGCATCGATGAGCTAGAGGAATTCCGGCGCGGGTGCAGCTAGTTGGACCACCCGGCTCGGGCGGGCACTGTGGCAATCGGGGGCCATTTTTCCCCATATCCTAAGATGGGGTTCTTGTTATTACTTGGACGCCTCCTACTCCTCCTTCCTCCTCCTCTTTTCTCCTCCCCTCCTGTCGGACTTACTCATGCTCACACTTGCTCATACTCAGACTTACTCATACACAGACTTACTCATACTCATATTTACTCATACTCAGACCTACTCATACTCAGACTTACTCACACTCAGACATACTCATACACAGACTTACTCATACACAGACTTACTCACACCCAGACGTACTCATACACAGACTCACTCATACCCAGACTTACTCATACACAGTATTTCTGGGCTCAACATCCTTCGCTTGGAGAGCAGATTGTGAGGATGTCTCAGGCGGGGCGCTGGTTTCAGCACCCCTAAGGGGAGCCGCCAGGGGTGGTTGCACGGGCTCGTTCGCGGCCATTTTGTGGGGATGTCTCAGGCGGTTTGCCTGTTTCTGGGCCCAACATCCTTCGCTTTCGGAGCAGATTTGGAGGATGTCTCGAGCGAGGCGCTCATTTCAGCACCCCTAAGGGGAGCCGCCAGGGGTGGTTGCACGGGCTCGTTCGCGGCCATTTTGTGGGGATGTCTCAGGCGGTTTGCCTGTTTCTGTGCCCAACATCCTTCGCTTTCGGAGCAGATTTGGAGGATGTCTCGAGCGAGGCGCTCATTTCAGCACCCCTAAGGGGAGCCGCCAGGGGTGGTTGCACGGGCTCGTTCGCGGCCATTTTGTGGGGATGTCTCAGGCGGTTTGCTTGTTTCTGGGCCCAACATCCTTCGCTTTCGGAGCAGATTTGGAGGATGTCTCGAGCGAGGCGCTCATTTTCACCCCCCAGGTGGGCCAGATTTTGAGGATGTCTCGATCGGTTTGCTTGTTTTGGTGGCCAGGCTCGTGGCCCTAAGGGGAGCCGCCAGGGGTGGTTGCACGGGCTCGTTCGCGGCCATTTTGTGGGGATGTCTCAGGCGGTTTGCTTGTTTCTGGGCTCAACATCCTTCGCTTTCGGAGCAGATTTGGAGGATGTCTCGAGCGAGGCGCTCATTTTCACCCCCCAGGTGGGCCAGATTTTGAGGATGTCTCGATCGGTTTGCTTGTTTTGGTGGCCAGGCTCGTGGGCGCAGATTCTTCTCAGGATGCCACAGGAGGCTCCAACAGGCTCCAGGAGGCCCCAGGAGACCACATGAGGTCCCAGGAGGCATCAGGAGGCCACAGAAAGACTCAAGAGGCCACAGGATGTCCCAAGAGGCTCCAGGAGGCCCCAGGAAGCTCCAGAAGGCCTCAGGAAACCACAGGAGGCCCCAGGAGGCAACAGGAAGCGCCAGGAGGCCTCGGAAGGCAACAGGAGGCCCCGAGAGGCCCCAGGAGCAGGAGGCCTCAGAAGGCAACAGGAGTGGCTCCAATCCCATGTGTTTTACGTATGCTCCTATCGATTGGGCCTCACCTGGAGCACGATTCTTTGATGTTCTACGTATGTTTCTATAGATGGTCCTTCTCCTGTGTACACAATCCTAAATGTTTTACTCATGTTCCTATATATTGGGCCTCTCCTGGGGCACGAGTCCTTGGTGTTTTACGCGTGTTCCTATATATTGCCCTTCTCCTGTGGCTCTAATCCGCAATGTTTTATGTGCGTCTGTTGCTATAGATTGCGCCTCTCCTGGGGCACGAAACCTTCCTAGGAGGTCCCAGGAGGTCCCAAGAGGCTCCTGGAGACCCCAGGAAGCCCCAGTAGGTTTCAGGAGGCCCCAGGAGGCCCCAGGCTCATGCACAGAGACGCGCTTGTACTACTGAGGCTCATTCACACTCCAATTCATTCGCAGTTAGATTGATGTCCAGACCGTCACAACTGAAGCCCGTTAATATTCGAAAGCTCTTGCGCCTAGACATTCACGGCGGACAGGTCCATGCGAGTAGATGCACATATGGGGAGCTCCACGCAGTGAATAATTTTGTTGATTGTGAGAGATTTGACAAGTCGTTTTGGTCAAACCGATTTTTATCCCCTGTAGTCGATTATGGCGCGTTTCGTAGTGCAAGTCTGGGGGATGTGGCTGCTGTGTAGCTCCCGAAACTAGCAGGAACCATCGGCCGTCGGGATGCATTTTTCCCATATGGTAATGGTTTTGTGAACTCAACGAGAGAAGGAAGCAAACTACAGCTCAAGTATCCTTTGCATGTGTACTAGGTTATGACGCGTTCGCCTGTCGAGTCCTCAGGTCTTGAGCTTCAGTGCGACTTTCAAAACAATTGGCGGAAGTAACTTCGTCTTAAACCACAACATTTTTCAGATTTTTTTTAAATGCTGATATTCGAAGGCTTTCTGTATCCAGAGCCTCTTCTCAAGTGTGAATAGCTCTACGAGGGCCCCGGCGGTAACCTGGTTGACGTTGTACCGCCGGGTCCCAGTAATGCGGATCTCAGACGGCGATGTTGCAGACTGGCGCCGTTCCAATTCTCTGCTTGCCAGCGCCGTAGCTTGTTGAATTATGGAGAGAAAACCAATGCCGCCTATATTCAACTGGGAGCTGGCGGTAAGCCGTCAACCAGAGTACCGCCGGGACCCTCGTAGAGCTCGTGACGCGCGAAAAAGTGCTCAGAATATGACGAGAAAGCTTACTTCAATATCATATTAAAAACAGGAAAAGCGTATTTTCTTGGTATCGTAACAAGTCGTTGCGAAGATTTTCTTACTAGCAGTTCTACAACTGGGAGCCGGCGGTAAACCGTCAAGCAGGTTACCGCCGGGGCCCTCGTAGAGCTCTTGCAACGCAAAATAGTGCTCAGAATACGTAAAGAAATCTTGCTTCATTCAATATCAGTTCAAAACTGCAAACATGTAGTTTCTTAGTATAATACGAAGTGACTCGTAGAGCTTCCTTGAGAGCGAAGCGGCGAAGCTAGAGAGTAATTCCGGAGCGCTGGGGGGCTAGTTGGCCCACACAATCCCGACGGAAGTTTTGCATAATTCGAGTCGGCTCAAAATTGCGTTAAGGAAACTTGAGCATTCTTTAGTGCTCAAATATTGTTTTCACCCATATTCGATCTCTCCGCCCGCCATCTTAATCTCAGGTCGCTCGCATCGATATGGCTGTCAAAAAGCACTCAGGCGGGATCGGTTGTTCAGTGCCATCTTGACTTGGAAAGAAACAACTTTTTGTGATCTCTCTCTCTCTCTTTGATTGTACAGGTATGATGCTAGTTTTTCTACTTCATTCGATCTGTAGGCTGGCTACGGACCTGAAAAGCATTTGTCGAACCAGAAGGTAAACAGGTATATTCGCCTACGGTATCGAGACGTGAAAATTCGGACTGCAAGCATAGCTACGAGTGGGAAATTATTCGCACTGAAAATATTTCACTAGAGATGACGTGCGTTTCATGAACTGATTTCCTCCTTCTCCTCCTCCGGTTCCTCCTTCTCCTCCTCCTCCTCCTCCTCCTCCTCCCCCCCTCTTCCTCCTCCATCTCTCTTCCTTCTCCTCCTCCTCCTCCTCCTTGTCTTCCTCCTAAACCATTCATCATCATCATCCCCCTTATCCCCCTTTCAACCTTCCCCCTCCTGCTCGTCATCCTCCTCTTCCTCCCCCCCCTCCTTCTCCTCCTCCTGCTCCTTCTCCTCCTCCCTTTTCTTTTCCTCAGCCTCCTCCGCCTCCTCCTTCTCCTCGCTCCTTCTTCTGCTCCGCGTCCTTCGCATGAAACCGCGCCCTCGCGCGCGCAGAATGCGAGGTTGCCGCGCCCTTATCCTATTCATGTGTATGGCAAGAAAGCTCCGAGTTCCCGGCGGTGACCGAGGCTGACGGTTCACCGCCGGCTCCCAGTTGGTTCCGCCAAGTGTTTTGATAGTGGCGCTGCCTCTAGGGGCCCGAGAATGCGACGGGCTGGCGCGCTTTCATCTGCTGCGATGCAGGGAATACACTTCACGAATGCATTATTATCTGGTAAAGTACATCCGATTGCCGACGGTTCCAGCTAATTCTTTCGAGCTGTGCTGCAGCTGCAGCCCTGAGAATTCCACCAGAAGTGTTTTAATACCAGTACTACAGCTACGGAACTGAGAATTAGACAGGCCAACTAGTACCTCGTAGAGCTTCGGCATCGATGAGCTAGAGGAATTCCGGCGCGGGGTGGAGCTAGCGACTCGTAGAGCCCCCCCTAAAGCAGTGGCGAAGATAGAGAGTAATTCCGGCGCGCTGGCGGGCTAGGAT